CCTGGTGGTGCAGTGGTTGAGAATCTGCCTGCCAAAAGACACAGATTGGCTGAATGGATACAAAAACAAGACCCATATATATGCTGTCTACAAGAGACCCACTTCAGACCTAGAGACACATACAGACTGAAAGTAAGGGGATGGAAAAAGATATTCCATGCAAATGGAAACCAAAAGAAAGCTGGAGTAGCAATTCTCATATCAGACAAAATAGACTTTAAAATAAGGACTATCAGAAGAGACAAAGAAGGACACTACATAATGATTAAGGGATCGATCCAAGAAGAAGATATAACAATTGTAAATATTTATGCACCCAACATAGGAGCACCTCAATACATAAGGCAAAAACTATCTATGAACTTACAACAAATGACTGGAAAATGAAATTAAAATATCCTTTACAATAAGAGCATTAAGCTTAACAAAAGATGTGTGGTATTTGTATATTTACAACTACCAAACATTGCTGAGAGAGATTACAGAAGGTCTAAATAAATAGAGATCGTGGTTGGGAAGAATTCATATTTCTAAGCAGTCAATTCTCCCCAAATTTATCTATGGATCTAATGCTATTCCAATCAAAATCTCAGCAGGTGTTTTGGTAGAAACTGGCAAGGTGGTTCTAAATTTTATATGTAAATTTTAAGAGACCAGGAATAAATAGCCAATATATTCTTAAAAAGAGAATAAAGTTGGAGGGTTTATTCTGCCTTATTTCAAGATGTACTGACAAGTTACAGTAATTAAGATAGTGAGGTATTGGCAAAAGAATAGACAAATAGATCCACAAAACAAACAAGTGACTCCAGAAATGTGTATATAAGTGCGTATATATGTGTGTGTAGATAAATGTATATGAAATGTACATGTGTATGTAAATGTATGTGTATGTAGATATTTGTATGTGTATGTAGATGTGTGAGTATGAAATAATTGTAAAAGTCACCAACACAATTCAATGGATAAAGTAAAATGTTTTCAATAAATGGTACCAAAATAACTGGATAGCCACATGAAAATAAAAAACCGTTGACCCCTACCTTACACCACACGAAAAAATTAATTTGAGATGGATCATAAATTTAAATTTGAAAGCCCAAGTTATGAAGCTTCTAGGAGAAAGTGTAGGAGAGGATCTT